GTACACCAGTTGGATGGTACACATTAGATGGTGTACACCAGTTGGATGGTACACACCAGTTTGGGTGGTATACACGTTAGATGGCGTACACCAGTTGGATGGTGCATGTTAGATGGTGTACATCAGTTGGATGGTGCACACCAGTTGGATGGTATACTCGTTAGATGGTGTACACTAGTTGGATGTTATACACATTGGATAGTGTATACCAGTTGGATGGTGTATACCAGTTGTATGGTGTACACCAGTTGGATGGTGTACACCAGTTCCTTAGTATAACGCTGTTGGATGGTGTACATCAGTTGGTACACCAGTTGGATGGTACACACCAATTGGATGGTACACACCAATTGGATGGTACATGGCAGTTGGATGGTGTATACCAGTTGTATGGTGTACACCAGTTGGATGGTGTACACCAGTTCCTTAGTATAACGCTGTTGGATGGTGTACATCAGTTGGTACACCAGTTGGATGGTACACACCAGTTGGATGGTACACACCAATTGGATGGTACATGGCAGTTGGATGGTACACACCAATTGGATGGTACATGGCAGTTGGATGGTACACACCAATTGGATGGTACATGGCAGTTGGATGGTGTATACCAGTTTGATGGTGTACACCAGTTGAATGGTTTAAACCAGTTGGATGGTGTACACCACTTGGATGGTATACACCAGTTGAATGGTTTAAACCAGTTGGATGGTATACATGTTGGATGGTGTATACCAGTTGCTGAGTTGAGCTTTCACCTGTCTGATGCTACTGGGTCAGTGCAAATGAAGGAGAGGCAACAAGGAGAGGAGAACAGTACAGTGCTAATAAAAACTGTTAGTGAGACCTGTTCTTTGCTACACTCAGATTGATTCCTAGAAGTCATTTCTATACAGATAAGAGGATTTATACTCGGTACAAATATACAGATAAATTTTATCATTAGATATATCTTTTTTCCTTCTATTCCTTTGAATCCCGAAGTGCAAAAGCAAGGTTGCTTTTGAAAAACTTTAACAAATTAACCTCCAGTCAAACAGATTGAAGACCTTCTGAAGCATTTTTACTGTTTGCACTCGAAGGTGCTGTAAAATCTGTCACAAACAGCAGCTCTTTCCGTTAATAGCAACAGATTTTTAGGTTGGCTTTTCAGAGGTTTTCATCCATTCATCATGGCCACAAATGTTAGCGGAGCGATACGTTACCAACCCTAATTCACTTCACGGCTACAACCTCTGCTCTCTGTGCAGAAGTTCGGTTCTGTTGACAAGACGGAAGCTCTTCTTGGATAATGATCGGGGACAAATGGACCGAGAGGACTGGATCTGCAGCTGTCCACATGGACGAGACAAATGTCTCCAGGAGAAAGGTTTGATGGACAGACGAGACAAAGACGGAGACAAGAAAGAYGTTTGGAGGAGTCCAGGTAAGACTTTCAGACCTTAGAACTGGGACTACCTCCATTCTTCACCTTCACCTCAGAACAACAGCTGGACGGTTGAAACGGGACTGTGATCCCAAACATCAGAACTGGTTTCTGATTGGATCAATCAGCTGATATTAGGATTCTGGACCAACCTGCCCAAAGACCCAATCTAAACCTGATGGAACATTTGTGGAGTTTCATTAAAAGCCGGGTCTGAAACCAGGAAACCAATTGATTTAAACAAACTGTACCGATTCTGCCAAGGGGAAGAAGACAATGTAATCTAACATTCATGGCCACGACAAATGAATAAAACCTTCTGACATCATCTTTGTGTGATTAAGTTCTGGTGAAACTGGACTCGGCTCCRTGTTTCTGTTCAGGAATCTTTAAATGTTTCCAACCACCTATGAGAGAAAGGCCACTGTGCGATTGTCCAAAACTAGGCTGCATGTTCGACTGATGTGCACGCCCTCGCTCCTCCTTTTCCTTTCACACTCAAGACAAATCAATTCTGATCTTTATGGTAAAAATGCAAATCAAAACAGTCTGCAGAGATTCTTTTTCCTATAATACATAAGAACAACAAAATGTTGACAGAAACCAGGATCCAGGGGATTTTTCCACATATGTCATGCAACTTGTTGAAGTCTTGTCTTCTAACCTTCTGAGGCGCAGTTTTACAAAAATACATGCATCATGTTTTTTTTTTTTTGGATATTGTTTTTGTTGACAAATATAAGGTTGGCTTTGTGTAATATACTCTGTAGCTGGTCTGCAGATGGAAATATAGATAAACTGGTGCTGAGAATGTTGGTAGTAACATCAAGCAGGCTTGACTTGTTGGCAGGAATATTGAGTAAAAACTCTAGGAAGTCAGGTCGATGCGTTCGGCACCTTTTTAGTTAGAACCATTTTGAAAAAAATAAAACAAAAATAAATCCGTTTCCATTTATGACACATTCGCACCCACACTATTCAAAACACAAAAAGTGGAAATATTAGTGTTTTGTGTGCGCTTCACACACACTTTAATCCACACCATATATTCTGTGAATTTCCAAATTTTTGGGACAGTTTTTTTAAATTTTTTTTTGTTTTTCTTTTTGAAAAAAGGCAGCTCAATCAAAATAGGTCTTGCAGTTTTTAATACGAGAGCTATTCTTTACATAAAATATTCAAATATGCCTATAAGATTTCATATTAATCCCTTTTAATTTTTTATTCACTGTCTCACAAGCCTTCCACCCTCAGAATAGTGTAAATGGAACTGGGTGCGTTTCAGCAACAGTCATGTTTTTTTTACTTGTAGTAGAAAGAATCCAACTAATGCACCGAAATCCAAGATTAGAAAGGGAGAAAAGGCAGACCACAACTATGGAAAGAAAAAAACCTCATGAAGGGATTTTATGACGATCTGTCATCATGAGGGCTACCGTCTGAGTTTTCTGTATCCCCTTCAGAGATGGCTTGCATGGGCGCCGTGTAGAGGCGGCTTCGTGTGCTGTAGCGGCTGCTGTTGGCCACAGGAGGGATCCGAGAGCGTCCTTGTCGAGAGGCGGCTGACATGGGCAGGGTTTTCGGAGTGAAGCTCTCGGAGTTGGCTCTGGGGAAAAGGCCTGGTATTTGGATCGGGTCAAAGCCAGAAATGGCAGGCTCCTGAAGTGCAGATGGTAGCTCCTCGGCTTGTCTGAAAGGCCCTTCCTGAAGGGGGTCCCCCGGTGTTTTGGGGGTGATGGGGCTCTTCAGGATCTCTGTGGCTGACATGCGGTAGCTGGAATCAGACCTGCTGCCTTTCTTCAGCAAGAGAAGTTTGAACTCCTCGTTGGACGTGCTGGATTTTTTAGCGCTGCGGTAAATTGGCACGGGGGCTCGTTGGGACCCAACGGCATTGGCTATGGTGGCTGGAAAGTTAAGAGGCGGGGCTGGAGGGACGACGCTGGTGGGGACGTTGCTGGGGGTTAGCGGTGCTGCAGGACAAAGACGAGACTTCACGTTTAGGTCCCCTGAATCTTTACGGCCTAGGACTTTTCTCTTGGACCTGAATGATAGAATCAGTGAATTAACTGATGCAGGAACATCATATCCACATCAACAGCCTTTGCAAACCCACTGGTTCTACAGCGATTTGACCAAGAACCATGACTTATTTTACTTCCACTTCACATTCATGCAACACTTTGTGTTGTCTACCGCCTAAAATAAGTTGAAGATTGTGGTTGTAACATAAAAACAGGTCAGTTACAGTACCTGTGTATCATGGCAAACAGGTCCTCGGTGGTTCGGGTCTTGTTAGGTGACGTGATGATAATATCATCATCCACTTTGGTATCGTCCATCAGAGGGGAGAGGGAATTATCACTGGGTGTGGAATCTGTGGCACACAACATCCCTATCACATGTCATCTGGTTGTCTGATCATTTAATACACACTATGTSAAAAATTAATCCTTTTAATTACGTGGTCTAGTCCAGTGATGGTGATTTTAATATGGTCTGAAAGCTTACCTTTACTGAAGTAATCCTCAGTGTCAGGAGTGGTGGAGTCATCTTTGCTCTCCTGGGGCTGCTGATGCTGATGGGCACTTCTGGTAGCACCTGATATCACCTCTTTTTCCTCTTCGTGCACTTCCTGCCCTGCTCTTCTTGCATCGCTGATTAGGTAAGGATGCGATGTCTCCATCGTGTTACCAGGCACTTTGACTGGACTAGCCCATGACCCTGAGTTTGAATGGGATCCCCCGGCAAATTCGTACGCCGGTGGAGGAGGGTGGTCAGTTCGCACACTGCCTCTGTAACACGTGGCCCTTTGTGACTCTTTCGCCTGCTCTTCCTCCTCCTCTTCATCATCGTCATCGTCGTCGTCATCTTGAGAAAACGAGCGCTCCCCCAGAACCCTAAACTCAGAGTGTGCGTGAGAYGAGTGGCTGAGGCCTCGGAACTCTGCGTGTGAATGGATGTGTGTGTGCAAATCCACGGGTGACGGGTGGGGAGCTCGTGGCACAGGTCTGTGGAGGGGGGAACTGTCTTCAGAGTGGTCTGACGTTGGGTCCATCCTGTTTCTGAAGGCAGTCATAGCCCAGAAGGTTCCCGGTCCATAGCGGTCCTGTCTCAGTAGCAGACTTTCATAGGATGGAGGTCCGTCGGGGTGACGGCCTGGGGGAGGTGGTTGCGAGTGTTCAGGTGAGGAGGTGTGGTCATGACATGGTGGTCTTGGTGGTGGCCTGCGAGGAGGGAGGGGCCTAGTGTTAACAGGTGGAGGAGCTAAAGTGGAACCAGTGGGGGGACATCTGGGTCTTGTTACTGTCTCTGCTGCATTTGTTGTTTCGTGGTATGTTGCTGAAGTACTCTGTACATCTGTAGTATGGCTAACCGAAATAAGCTGTCCAGAACGAGGAGCAGATGGAGTTACCATCACCAGACTTGAGCTGGGAATTGCCAAAGCAGAGCTTGAACTTGGTGGTTGATTGCTGTTTGATGTCTCAGGGACCGCCATCTTTGTTCCAGCAGCTAAAACATTAGTAACTCTGTGTTTGCTGTGGTGGAGTGTGTGCATGTGGTATGTTCGGTGGGATAACGTGTGCCTCACATAGCCGCCATGGAGAGCGTTGAGATCAAGTTGAGAGGGTGGAGGTGGGAAATCACTGTCCTTCTTATTGCAAGACGAAATAGAAGCTCCATCTCTGGGAAATTGCTGCAAGGAAGAGAGAGATGATTTCCTTTCTGGAACTTTGGGCTTCCTCTTACCAGTCGAAGGGGACAGAGGTCCTGGGAAGAATGCTGCTGAAGATGAGGGCAGAGTTGATGTTGGAGTTTCAGATTGGCTGGAATAGCCGCTTGACGGTGAGGCTAGGCCTGCCAGTTTTTCAGGCGACCCGAGCTTAAAGTCTCCTGGTGGAAGAGGTGGACTGCTTACCTTGGTCTCGGTAATCTGGGCAATGGCCTGGGTTTGCATTTCTGTGGAAGAGGAAGAGCTGTCTGGTGACTTGATACACTCCATGACGGTGGTGCCTGTGGCTGTGCTGGAGTTGGACATTGACGTGTACTCACCATTGTTAGACTTCAGTTCACTGTTGTGAAGCCACAGGTCTGCATAGTCAGATTGCACAGCACCTTCATCCTTAAATGAGTGTGTATCTGCAGAAGTGAAGGACATGGGCTCTACTATGTCCATGGCTCCCCCCAGTCCCATGCCCCAACTGCCCAAAGACTCCCCAACTAGACAGGAAGTCTGCAGTGGTTCTGGGGCACCTCCAATCTCTAGATCTAGTTCTAGCTTCATATCTGTGGAAGACGAGGTGAGTTCTTGCTCACTAACCATCTTTGGTTCGTCCTTATCTGCTTGCGTGTCTGTTCCGACGTCAACGCTGCCAATTGGTTCCTTCAATGAGGATGTCCGTTTTGGTGGAGGAGGTTTGACTTTTGATTTCCTCAGGGAACGACAAGTCCTACCTAGGGTCATGGTGCCAGCTTTGAAGTCAACTAAGGGCTGGGGGTAACCTCCATGGGATGATTGTATCGTCACAGTGTTGGACTGAGCACAATCAGGCCCCGGGTCTGCATAGTTACATTTATATGCTGTGTAACTCTGATTACAAGTGTCAAAATTCACAGAGGATGAGTAGAAATCTTCTGTATCAGATCGGTATTGAGAGCCAGGCTCCTTTTCAGCATTGCTAGCTTTGTCATTGAAACAGGTCTGGTCATCCAAACCTTGTTTTGAGCTGTATTCTTGGATCAACTCATGGCTTTCGCTCAAGTTTGGGGTGTGATCTAGGTCTTGGTCCGGATCAATCTGGTCTTGATCAGGCGGGTATGTCCACTCCCCTTCACTGGCCGTGCTTACCCCCGCATCATCCATCTGGTCTGTTGCTGAGGATGTAAATGAGCTGGACCTGTGGCCCTGGCTCTGGGGTCTGAGGTCAGAGTGGTATGAAGGGTCCAGAGAAAATCCTTCATCAATGGCATTGGGTACGGTGTTGAGTGAAAGYTCCGAATCACAGTGGGACGAGCCTGTGAGGGGCGGCGACGAGGGCGGAGGAATGGTTTCAGATGTTTGTGAGGGGCAGGTGGAGCTGGAACCACTCCAGTTCCCACTTGACGACTGGTGGTCTTCCTTGTGGTCCACGTGACTGCYTAGAACTCCTGTTGTTGACACCGAGTGAATAGGGCTGCTGAAAGTGTCAGAACTGGAAGAGATCTCACAGCTGCCCATGTCAGTCTTTCGGGGCAAACGAGACCGACCCCTCTCCATCCAGCTGTGCTCTGGACTCCCCCCTCCTCCACCCCCTCGGTCTCTTTCACCCGATCGCTGGAGTCTTTTCAGGCTTCCTAGCTGCAGCGGCTCAGGAGCTGCTTGATCGTCGGTGCTCTCCTCTTCGTCCTTCATCAGCATCATCTTCATTCTTGGACTTGGTCCTGGCGGAATGAAGTCCTCTGCCTCATACGGCGACAGCTCTTCATCGTCGTCGTCATCGTCATAATTGTCATCGTCGTCCTCATCGCTGTCCATCAGACGCCCACCCTCCCGTGGAAGGCTGCGTGAGCGCAAGCGCCCGCCGTGTGCCGATGCCGTGGTGTACGTGGAGTCCGACTGATCACCCAGGGAGGAAATGTTGCCCGTTGAATGAGACAGAGAGGCAGGGATTCCCTGATGGCTGCGCTGAGCTCGGATCCGTCTCCTGGAGGGAGCAGCAGTACCTTGAAGAGCAAACAGAGGGAGGCATTCATTATTTAAAATGAAGGAATGCTTATCACYTGCCAGCATGCATATCAGCTTTAAATGAMAGTGAAACAGGAAGTGACATCAAAGGGGAACTCCCTGGTTTTTGTTTATTGAAACAATAATGTTTAAACTCTCTGACAGTGACACAAAAAAATTCAAAGAAACATCAGGTTCTTCTCTACAGTCTGTCATTAKTTATTGTAGCAATGCTCTCTTCACCTGCAGACATTAATGTTTGACATCACTTCCTGTTACTTCACATACRAACATGGCTGAGTCCAAATTCAGGGTCTGGGTCCTCCAAAGGCCAAATTTGTCAGCTGCTTACGTAACAGCGTTGTGCCGGAGAATGCCCAAATTTAAAGACTCCTCCGATGCGGCCGACAAATGCGTCCTCATTTGTCCCTGATTTGAGGGGCGGGTCTGATGGATCCTTCTCGGCCCACCRTATCCCATAATGCACTGCGGGCCGACCGGAGATTTTTTATCTGCCCGTAACAGCAGACAAAGCAAGAGAAAGGAGGACAGTTTTAAATAAAAATCTGTTGGTATAAAAATGAAGTTTTAAGCGGTTGTGTTGTTACAACTTTTATCATTTTTATAAACATGTTTTCAATATTATTCTTGTCAGAAATAAAACGAGCTGGTATAGAGAAATAAACATGCACCTACAGCAGGTCCTTTAGTTCTTCAAATAATAACTGTATAATTTGTATCTTTAAGAGTTACCGTTTGAGGAGTTGAATTTTTTTTAAATTTTATTATTTGATTACTTTTGTCTGAAATTAATATTAGTTTTTGCAAACGGGCAGATTTTTTTCACCATCTGCTACCTTTCATTTTATTTGATTTGTATTGTTTTATTGTATGTAAATGTTTTATGATTTTTTAAATGAAATGAATAAAGTTAATAATAATAATAATAATAATAATAATATTAATAATAATATTAATAATAATGATAAAAAACATAACAGTAAAAAATAAATAAATATTGCCTTTAAGATAATTTTGTTTTATGATATTTATAATAATAAAATGTTGATATTTTGCTAATTTTGATCTATTTTTGTTTCCGTTTAGCGTCGTCATGGTTGCAAGGCAACAGGACATMCGCCGGGGTAAGGGTGGGAATRAAGCAGAAGACTAGACCGTCCAAATTCAAACACTTTTTTCCGGTCTTTGCGGTTGGCCAAGGACCCGGCCCACCTAGACCGGGTAGGCCGGGTCCTTTGAAGGACACAGCCCCTGAGTTTGGACACAGCTTATCACAACAACTGTTCATCTTAGTGACATGATCAATATGTTATCAATGTTATCTTTCCAAAAATACATTCATATTTATGACAAACWTTGGTCACAGACCCTTTAAAGTCTCTACCAGAATGCAGTCCTTGTCTTTGTCTTCATCATCCAACATTTTGTCACTGAGTCAAACTTACAAGCTATAAGGAAATCGTCCGTCTGGCAGCCAGAGTCCCGGGTGTGATGGAGACGACCACTGATTGAGATGTCCTCCTGACACAGGGACAGGTGGTGCTGATGGGCGTGGATGATCACGGTCCGCTCTCGTGCTACCGGCGATTCATCAGAATCTGAAACAAACGTAAAAAAAACCATCTCCTTCAGTTGGTCAAGTATTGGTGAATATGATTCTCCATCACCCCGTGTGTGTTTCTGTACCCACCCATGTCGTGCTGGACTCGTTTGGGGATCCCCGTGATGGTCTTCCTCCTCCTCAGCTTCCTCCGCCTCTGGAGGACTGACTGGGAGTGGACCAGAGAGCAGCGAGCGCTGGCCTCGCGGTCGAACCCGACTCCTGCATTAACGACAGAACCTGATAAACGTATAAAACTCAAAGTGTAACACAGAACAAGGCAGCACCAGAGAAAAACTTAGACTTTGCTCTCTTTAAGGGCTAACTGGTTTTTCACAGAARGTCTTTAAATAAATTATTATAAAACTGCTTTATTTTTATCTGCCTAAATGCATTTCTTGTCTGAGTTTACCTGTAACGTTAATGGGGATGATGCACGAGGGGACGGCGTTAGAATCATCAGATATCTGATCTGAAGGCGGGATGTTTTCCTTGGACCAGCTGGTCTGTTTGTCCTGGGTTGGGGGGGCACTGCGGACCAAGTCCTTGGCCTTTTGGCCTCCCGACTTCTCCGTCACTTCACCTTCCTCCGTAGAGGGACCCTGGAGGAAACGTGTTGAACAACAGTGTCTTCACCGATCCCGCCTCAGTTTCAGTTTTTAGGCTAAAGAAAAACCTTCACATGTTCAACGTGCACCATGAAACAAAAAGACCAAATGACCAAATATAGCCAAGAAATAAAACAACGATTTAATAAATGTAAACAGAAATGTGCAACAAAACAATCTGATACCTTTCTGTTCCATGGAATGAAGATGCAACCTTCAACAGTGTCAAGTGAATAAAAGCAYTCAAACTAAAAACAACAAAAAAACAAAATTAAAAAAAAGCAGATGATGTCATGAATCATCTAATGCTTGTATCTCACCTGGCGAGGAGCTGGAGACACAAAATTACGAGAAAAGACAAAATTTCAACTTGGATTCTCATAGAACTGGTATTTATGATGAAAYGAACTGACTCAGTTTGATCGCAATTTATTCTCTTTTCTCATTTTTTT